CCTTCTGATCCAAACAGTCTAACAAACTGTTTAATTACAGCGGTGCATTGATTTGATACGTTAATTCACAATCACCGCTTCTGCTAAAACAAAAAAATTTAAAAGCTATTCTTCAGGCAGGATATAGGATACTTGGTATAAAAACTTAAAACGATTTTTGACTTCTCAAGCTGCCCTCAGTTATTTTGTTCTACAATCATGCGCTTGTCTGGTAAACGCAGAATAGCTAATCATGGAGTTCTTCCGTATCCAGTTGAATGATAAACGTATATAAGTAAGAACCGTCATACCGCGAGGACTCTATGAACGTACTCGCAATAGTTGATACTATAGTTTTGCATACCTGCTACGAAATTCGTAGCGTTGGACTCAGGAGAAGCGGTAACGAGGAAACGGCATATCGATATATGCGGTTAAGGCAAATCTAATTTAAAAGAATTGCCGGAACCTGGTATGGCAGAGTTGCAAGCCATCGCTCATATTTGTGCTTGAAGTAAGCATAGTGAAATATGATTTACAGACAATAATGCTGGAATGAAATGGAAAGCGAAGACGGAAGAGTCGGTCTGTATGGTAGCAACAGGTGTGATGAGCACTCCATCGCTGTGCGTTGCGTCTTGCCTGTGTTTAAACGTTTCTGTTTCTGCTTCTTCGACAAATACTGACGTTCCAGCGAATGGATGTCGTCTGGTCAGTGCGGCTTCGTTTCGACGGCAACCGCGCGACGTGTCTTCAGGCAATCTGCATGACGTACTCGATGGCAATGCTGTGAATAGAAACGAGTTGAAAAAAAATATACAGTAGTCCTGACGCAGCTGCAAAGGGTTATTTCTATTGGTGCCGATGTCCGTGAGGTGAAAAGGCCTGCGGAGTCGAGTGTCATCGACCCTGAGTCCACCTACCCTTCCTGTGGTCGCCTTCAGCGTAAACTGTCCTCTGTTTGACCTGAGTGAATACCGTACCGACGCGGCGGCATGACAGGACTGTTAGCAATCTACTCCGCCGCGCCGCGCCGCGCCGCCCTGTCATTGATCGTAGTCGTCGTCGTCGACGTCGTCTCTCGGCACCATTTCAATGCCAAGAGAGACCAGGGCGCGAAGCGCGCTCGTTCGATCGTGTAAACGCGGTTCCGCCCTGTGCGTTCAAAATTTCGTCCATCAACCATTATAGCTTGGTCGGTCAGCCGCCTGCTCGGCCTTTCATCCTCTGCGACAAACAGACGTTGCCGATATCGACCAGGCCACTGGACGGAAGTGTCGTGAGGCGCGCACCATTTTACGAACCAGACGAGTGAGCGTCGCAGTGGCCGTTTTTTCCCGTTTCCTGATTGGTCGCCGCCGCGTAGCTCGTAGATCGTAGGCAGGCAGGCACCTAGACACATAGGTTGCAGGCGTTCGACCACACGGCTGACTAACCGGTCAGCAGCGGCGTTGCTGTCCATCGATAAGTTACCACGTGAGTTTGCCTGAAAAGTTACCATCGATGTTCCTCACACACTCGCTGGCTTTTGACACGGCACAACACTCAGCCACGATGCATTGTTACCGTGCTCGCTCGGTGATTGATTGCCGCGCGCGTACCTTTAATTTGTATAAAAGGCATGTAAGTAATTAGTTCCAACTTCGGGCATTTCAATGAAACGTCTCGCGGTGACGAACATCCGTCGAACAACTGATCGATGCGATGCCGCTTTTACGATAACCTGCTTGGCACAGAAGCATCATGCGGCGCGGCGTAATGGCTGAGGAGCGTTCTCTATCGTGACTGAGTCTACGCGAGCGAGGAACAAGGCTGGCAACCGTGTGACGACCGACAACCGTCGTTCGCCTTCGCCGAAGCAGCGACGACGACAGCAAAAAACTGCTCCGCTAATTGCAGTACTACGCCAATTACCGCGACGGTGATCACGGGACAACTTGTGTATGTACAGTACGGTACACGTGCCAGTGTACAGTGCACGGCTACAGTAGAGGCTGAGTTGCTGTGAGGCGAGCAACTGATGTAGGATCATCAGGAATTTCACAAATTCTCGCTACGCCGTAACCTCTGACTGCTGCTCCAGATCTGTCATGATACAGACCATATCTTATTACCGCACTGTGATTACGTACATGACATGAATAGCGTTGCTAAGGTCGACGTAATATCTCCCGCAACCTTTGCAGACTTCTTGGCAAAATTCTGCAGCAAACTATCAAAACCAAGCTGTAAGCGACTTCAAATACCTTTGTTTTTTATGAGTTGGCTGAACTGCTAATAATAATTAAATAGTTCTTCCAAACAAAGTTTCTGATGGATGCAGATATCGAGCTTAAGTAAAGTTGTTAAAACCTTTTCTGATTTTATGCAAATTTTCCTATAGTTTAAACAGGTTAAGAAAATTCAACAAGATAGCCGCAGTTGTGGAATTCAGAGCAAGATTTGCAACAATCTTGCATTCAGCATCGCAAGTTCTAAGTTTGAATAACGTTCTTTATGGATGCCTCTGTACGGCTTCGTTTAAGAGAGGGAAAAAATATTCCAGGTTGTTTGTAGGTTTTGGAGAAAGAGAGAGGGATAGAGAAATCTTAGTAAGAATAGAAAATACAACACAGCTTCAAGAGTGGAACGGTGCAGAAGGTTTCTGTAGCCCATTGTAGCATGTGCTTCTCCTGTTTCAATGTGTTTTCCATCGTCTGGCTTATTCAAATACCGGCCAGATGACACTCTATTTCATGATGTTCTTTTTGAAGGTGGTCCGTCCTTCCATATTGGAAAATCGAACGATAATCAGGTACAAAATCCAGGTATGATGTGACTTTTAGTTTCAAAATAGCGGAATCTTCAAATGCAATGTCTTAAATTTGTGCAGAACTTACTGACTGGCACTGAGTTAATCTTGTGTGAAGTAACAAGTGAAGTTTTCCACTTGGTGTGAAGTAACTTTTTTTCACAGATATTCTCAGCACCTCACTTATATCCATTTGCAATTCTTCTCTTTTTGACTGCCCTTTTCCTTTACCGCTCCCTACACACCAACTCAAATCGCTCACATAAAATACCTCGTTGGATGCCCGCCCTTTCCCAACAGAGCCTTATCAACCGCTGCATATTAGTCGGAAACTTCTAACAGGTAGAGTCTTCTTTTACAGGATTATCGTCGCTGAGCAGATTAAGTCAGCGATCCTAACTGTACAAAGCATAATCTACAAGCAAATCAGATTCTTCGCTTTTGCGACGTATAGTCAACGACGATCATCAGTGAGCTGTATGAAACAGCTGCTTTCTATTTCAGGTTCAAAAAGGAAAGGCAGAAGGGGTTCATTTAAGTTTTTCCATCATTCTCTTCTGTGAAACGGACTAAGTTCTGAAACTGTTATTCATGTCTTCCACATGATTTGCTAGTCCGCGATTCCTTAATGCCACTGGCACGCTTAAGCGTTTATCCACCTTGATAAGATACAGTGGTATTTATCCACCTTGCAGCTAAATCAATATCGCGCATCATAAATCTGTCATGCAGTCTCACAGATATTAATATGACAGATTTCCTCGCTTTCCTTCAATGCAAATGATTTTAGGCATGACGCAAGATACTCCTTTACTTTATTTCGACGTTTGTGCGTCAGCATGTAAGAAATTGAAAAATAACATTCAGAAAATATGACAGATTAGAATGAAATGGAATGGAATGAACTTACAGCTAACGAGTAAAGTATGCCCTTTTTTCACAATTTGAATTCAGCATTTCCTGATTCACCATGAAACTATTTCTGCCGTAGCGACTAAAGATATTATCTCACTTAAATGCACATTATCATATCACTGTTATTGGAGGATAGCTTTGTAAGATAAAACAAGTGGTCTATGTTTGAAAGTCATCACACTCTGTCGTTGTCTGCTCCACCTTCACACATTATGTCTGAAACAGAAAATCTGTTTTCAGTTAAACAACTCGAGCAATTACAGATCAGTATATATAACGTCAGAAGTTTCTTTCACTATTTTCATTCCTATTCTGGCCCCTGTTTTAAGCCACTCCCTTAAAATTCTCAACAGCAAGCCGTCATTGAAAAAATTGGGACTGGAGGCAGTTGTGAAAATTTTTAAAATCTTATCCAGCATTTTCTCTAATGTCAGGATTGATTTACTGTTTAAACAGAAATGTTTAATATGTTAGCGTCGCACAGATATTTCCATTCGATATCATTGCGTTGTTTTATTCAGAGAAACGATAATTAAATATGTGATGTTGGTGATTACGATTAAAAATGCTGGTCGTTGTCAGAGTTACCAATTTCAGGCAGACACTTATCATACAGTCAAATGCTGTGAGGTACTAAGTTATGGCAACACAATCGAATCGGTTGCCTTAAAAAACATTTTTAGTCTGTGAGTCTGCTTAGACTCTTTCAGTTCAATTTCATTTCTGAAATCTGACCTCTGCACTTTTCCCAGGCTTAATTTATTGAGTAAAACACCCAGTATCTGGACGTCACACGTTTCAAGAATATGCCTGTGTGGCTGTACCTTTCTCTGCTGACTGAAACCATTACCTCAGAAAATTATTCGCTGCAACTAAGCAGTATTCTATACACAAACTTATAGGCATCTGAAATGTGTCATTAAATTTCAAGATAAGGAAAATGCTGGAACTGATGCTTTCATCTTCTTCTTCATCATCATCTTCTAAGACCGCTTCTCCTTTCGGGTCGCGGAAGCAGACGCGTCAGACAATGTTTCCAACTTTCCTGATCCTGTACTAGAATCTGAATTTCGGCAGAAGTCAACTGGATCCTGGAACAGATTCCTTCCATATATTCGCACCAGGTTAATCTTGGCCGTCCCCTGGGCCTTCAGATTTGCACGAAACAGTTGCTTAGCCTTCCTTTCTCGAGGCATTCGCAACACATGCCCAAACCATCGCAGCTGTGACTTATCAACCTTGAGAAGCAAAGGCTGTATACCAAGGCTCTTCCGGATGTTAATATTCCGATCCATGTCGAGACTCGTCTAATAAAGCCCATTTCTACAGCTTCTACCGGGTTCGAACCTTTTCAGTCATCGTCCACCACTTATGACCGTAGGTAAGCATGGAGATAAAGATCTACCGATCGATAAAGATCGATCGACTTGAACACCGAGAGCTTAGTTTTTAGACCGAGTTCTGCTTTCGTCACAACGGATCGGGCTAGTTCACGCAGAACGCCACTGGCTACTCCAATTCGCCGGTCGATCTCCTCCTCCAATTTTCCATCACTAGTAAATACAGTTCCGAAGTACTTGAACTTCTCCACCTGCTTCACTGCCTCTCCGTCAATCTGAAGAGAGCAACGGGCAGGAGAACGAGAAAGCACTAGGCTTTTCGTTTTA